TGTAATTTACTTAAGGAAATATTTTGTAAAAAATTTTGTTATGATTAATTTAAATTGAAAATAAAAAATTCTTATATAAATATGACATGTCATCTTTTAGTTTAGTCATATCATTTTTTTAGAGTGATTGTGAAGATGACACATAAGCAAACTCTTATCATTTTTCAAATAATATATAACGGAAATGATTTGATTTTGTGACATAAGGAAAATATATGTGGCATTATTATGTGAAGATAAAATTATTTTCCACGTGACCGACAATTTCCAGAAAAATAATGGACCATCAACTGATGTGTAACATCAAATAATGTGGCATTTTTTTTGCAATTGTCCCGTGAATCAAGGACGGGTTATAATCAGATACTATTATCCACATATACTATTATCCACATGGTAGAGAAATTTATTAATGAGGATGGACCCAAACCCGTCCCAATCCAAAAGATGGCCCATCGTACAACTTTAGATATGTTGGTAATTTGTTTTTTTTACATGGGTTTTCAAAACTTTTTAATAAATTTTTTCTTTTTGACAAAATAAATCCTCTTTTCTTTTGAAGTAGCTTGAAATTGAACAAGGTCTAGAAAACTCGCTTTTCTGGGTTACTCCTAGATGGGTCTACAACCCACGTTTTCTGGGTTGACCAACCATGGTCTTTGGCGACCTCTTGGCTAACGTCAGGACTTTAAATGACCTAAGTTTGGTCATGAAAGTTAATGTCGGACAGTGATGGTTACTGCTGGCCGGCGACCACCTCAGGGGCTTATACAGTTAAATCCGGTTATGAACTAGCACGGATACACAAGGACGCAGACACTCAATTCCTACTCCAGCTTCCATCGGATGCACTTTTGAAGGCGTTCGTCTGGAAAATTTGGGCTCCTAACAAGCTCCGACACTTTCTCTGTCAGTGTCTGCAGGGGCGGTTGCAGTAAATGAACGACTCAATTATCGACATGTGCGCTCCATCGATAATTGCCCCCGATGTAATTTGGTCGGAGAATCTATAAACCATGCACTCACACCTATTCTTTGGGGTGATATTACGCGGCCCTCAGATAGTCTACGTGCTAATTTTGACCCCTTATTTTCGCGTCTTCCGAGGACTGAGGCCCTTTCCGAAGTATATCAAGCCTTCTT